GCGGGGGGCGGGGCCGCGGCGCCTGCAGAACCTTGGACAGAAGCTCGGGAGCCGCCGCCGCCGAGCGCGAGCCCCGCCGAGCGCTGCCGAGCGCCGCCGAGCGCCGGGACCGCGGCGGCTGAGCAGCGGCACGCATTGCGGAGGGCGCGGAGCGCAGCAGCAGCTGCCGGCCCGGTAAGCCTCCGCCGGGCGGTGGCCCACTGCGGTGGGGAGCGGGGCCCGGGGTCTGGGCGTGCGAGGTGTCGAGGCGGGGAGCTCGGCGGTCTGAGCCGGAGCCCGGCCCCCTCCGGGCTGCGCTTGGGGACCGCAGGGCGGCGGCGACGGCGGGCGGGGTGCTGCAGTGGAGGCGACGAGGCCGCGACGCGGGCGGGGCGCGGAGCCCGGGGAAGGGCCTGTGCGGGTCCGGGCTAGGGTCGCGGGGGCAGCCGAGGCCAGGCGTAGCGCGGAGGGGTGCGGCGCGGAACCCCGCCTGTGCTGAGAACCATCTTGTTTTCCACGCAGATCTGAGGGACAGCACGCGTCCCCGGAGCGTCCCCGCCTTTTCCCTGGGGCCGCCGCAGGCTCGGTGAGCTGCTTTTCCCCTCCGGCCGGCAGGCTGGGCGCGCAGGGGCGCGGGCCCCCGCCGGGCGCGCAGAGGCACCATGGGCACGGTGCTATCCCTGTCCCCCAGCTACCGGAAGGCCACGCTCTTTGAGGATGGCGCGGCCACGGTGGGCCACTACACGGCCGTGCAGAACAGCAAGAACGCCAAGGACAAGAACCTGAAGCGGCACTCCATCATTTCCGTGCTCCCTTGGAAGAGGATCGTGGCCGTGTCGGCCAAGAAGAAGAACTCCAAGAAGGTGCAGCCCAACAGCAGTTACCAGAACAACATCACGCACCTCAACAATGAGAACCTGAAGAAGTCACTGTCGTGCGCCAACCTGTCCACATTCGCCCAGCCTCCACCGGCCCAGCCGCCCGCACCCCCGGCCAGCCAGCTGTCGGGGTCTCAGACTGGGGTCTCCTCGGTCAAGAAGGCCCCACACCCTGCCGTCACCTCCGCAGGGACGCCCAAACGGGTCATCGTCCAGGCGTCCACCAGCGAGCTGCTGCGCTGCCTGGGTGAGTTTCTCTGCCGCCGGTGCTACCGCTTGAAGCACTTGTCCCCCACGGACCCTGTGCTCTGGCTGCGCAGTGTGGACCGCTCGCTGCTTCTGCAGGGCTGGCAGGACCAGGGCTTCATCACGCCGGCCAACGTGGTCTTCCTCTACATGCTCTGCAGGGATGTTATCTCTTCCGAGGTGGGCTCGGACCATGAGCTCCAGGCAGTCCTGCTCACCTGCCTGTACCTCTCCTACTCCTACATGGGCAATGAGATCTCTTACCCACTCAAGCCCTTCCTGGTGGAGAGCTGCAAGGAGGCCTTTTGGGACCGTTGCCTCTCTGTCATCAACCTCATGAGCTCCAAGATGCTGCAGATCAATGCTGACCCACACTACTTCACACAGGTGTTCTCTGACCTGAAGAACGAGAGTGGCCAGGAGGACAAGAAGCGGCTCCTCCTAGGGCTTGATCGGTGAGCCCTGTAGCCCGCACCATGGCTCTAGGATTTAATGCATTTTTAAAAATTTATTATTAAACAGATCAGTTTTATGTACAGTATGTGTCTAGCAAAGCCACCAAGGGTCTCTCCCTTCCCATGTTAATCTCCTTGGGGTTTTTTCCAGCCCTGCCAAGAACTGTGGGCACTTTTGAACTCACAAACCTTGTGCAAAACCCAGAAGATGTATTCAGAACCACGGAGGCCACTGACCTCTCACTTTGGGGAACTCCAAGGACTGCTGTGCCAGCCACCTGTACCCTTGTGTGGATCTAGGGTGGGCAAGTTTGCCTGCTGCTCCCTAAATGGGAGCTGGAGACGAGTCTTTGGCTGGTTGGCCCAGGGAGGAACTGAGGTTTTTAGTTGGAGGCCCTTTTCTGGCTTCTGCGTTGGGTTGCTCACCCTCACAGAGGCTCCGGGAGCCAGCTGCCCTAACTGAGCCACAGTGGGACTGTGAGGCAGGGTCCCTACTGCCCTGAGACATCTTGCAATCTAGTGCAAAGATTGTGTTTGGTTGTTTGACCATGCACGGTCCTGGGTTGCTGTTTGCTTTTTTAGGGAGAAGGGTTTTAGTGGAGAAATAGAACTCCCTCCTCCCCCCTAATATGCTGCTCCCAGCCTATGTTGGTAGTGTTGGCTAATGAGCTGGTTTGACTCATTAAATTCTCTTATTTTGGGTCCTAGCTAAAGGGGTGGGGTGAAGCTGGGGACAGCTCTTTTCCTGGGAGAATTTTTCATTTGAATAATGCAGCATAGTTACCCTGTGGCAAATTCCGGGACAGCTGCAGGTGCCAGTTAGCAATAGCCTACCTTCTGGTGAGGTGGGGGTGTGTGTGCCATGCCTGAGACCAAGCCATTGCCCACCTAAAGGCTGAGGCCTCTTGCTGGTGCATGACATTTGTCCTGCAGAGCCAAGGGGTGGGGGAAGAGATGTCAGGGATTGGGGTGATGTGGTAATGATGTATCCTCACCTCCACTCCTGTTAATTTAAAGCTGTTTCCAAACAGTTCTGTTTCTTCTGGAGAGGAAACCTTGTGCATCTCAAGACCCAGTGAGACAGCTGGATCTTGGAGGCAATTAAAAGATGGGAGTGTGACTCCTGGTTGCTTTGGAAGCCTGCTGATTCTACAGCTGATCATTTGCAGCTGGTGGTTTTGGTTTCCACCTTACCCTAGTGGCTGTAAAAACACACGATGTGTATACTTTATCGATTTTCTTTCTAATTCTCCCACATTGGAGGCTTGGGACTTGGGAGAGGACCAAGAGAAGGGAGCAAGTGTTCTTCTGTGGTCCGTCACTCCAGCTTTGGAGAACAAAGACCAACGTGAAGATGCTACAGAAGATTTTCTCTTCCAGTCCCAGGCCCCTGGGCAGTGCTGAGATGTGGGATTGGGGGGGGGGGGGCGCAGAGGGTCCTTTTACATAGGATTAGGTTCTAGATGGCTGCTGATTTCAGCACAAGCACTACTGATTTTCACATAAAAACGAAAGCTGTGAAATTGAGGGCCCGATTTAAGAGGCCTGGAGCAGAACCTGCCAGCCAGCAGTGCTCCCAGAGATGGGGAAAGAAGCCTGTGGGCGGAGAGCCTCTACCTGACTGCCCCTCGAAGCCCAGCTCAGCCCATTCCTGGGACCGTCAGATGATCAGATGCGGCGGGCACCGAGAGGAACCTGCCGCTGCTGGCACAGACTTCACCACAGCATCTTTCCTCTCTGTGGGGTTTCCACACGGCTAGCCTTGTGATCCTGCTGCCACTTGTGACCTGAGGTGGGAGACCCTGGTGGCACGGAAGAGGGAGGGTCGGTGCCAAGTCTCAGGAGGAGGGCGCATGTTTGTAAGTCACCTTCAGCTGGCTGAACCTGGCCTGGAACTGTGCAGTTAGGCTGCATCCACAGGATTCCAGTTTTGTGTCTGTTTTCTTCTCTTTGTATTTTTTTTTTAGTTTTTGGAGAAGGTGCACCTTTCAGGAGTGGTTGGAGACTAAGGAAACAACTCCTTCGTCCCCTCAGTGTGAAGCCTGTCGTGTGTCCTCTCTCCCTTTGCACTGGTCATCAGTATTGTGTAAAGGAACAACTGATATACTTGAGTGTGCAAGCAACGAACCCATTGACATGCTGCTATGAAGATTACTTTTAGAATAACAATAAAAAAAAGAAAAAAATCTACAAAAAAAAAAACCCCTTTATTCTTTGTTGCTTTTCCAGTGATATTGTGCATGCAAACCAGGAGCATTTTGTGTCTTAAGAAAAATAATCTTAGAACAGATGGCTGTGAAAATTACACCCATGCACAGAACAAGCCACAGGAGTAATAGTTCAGGATTTGGTTTTTTTCTCTTTTCATCTTTAACCTGAAGGGTTGATATATTCTTTCCATGCAGTTATTAGAATTTAGTTTTGTTCCATGCAGTTGTTAAACTTGCAGTGAAAAGAAAACGTGCCATTTTTTTTCCACTTGGAATTATTCATAGCTGTATATTTGAAACTGCTAATTACACGTGTGCTGTTTGTTGGTTTTTTAGTGCAATTTCTTCTGTAGCTATTCTTTGACCAAACTGTGGGTATTGTTAATATTAATTTATATTTGTCTCATTTTGTATGTATGTGTAGTGTGTATGTGTGGTTTATAATCCGACAAAGTCATGAAGCTCAGTTTGGCTGTAATTTAATTCCCCTTCCCTTATTTTTATTTATTTTTGTACTGTGCTGATTCAATAAAATGCACTGACCATCCATTACATAGACTTCTTTTTGTGGGCCCATCATTTGTGAGCAGGCTGGGGGCCCCTTTAATAAATGAGTCATGCACTCAGAACATAATTGGATTTGTGTTATGGGGGAGGGGAGAGGGACAGAGTTGGGGGGAAGGGCTTAACACACTAAGGTGATTAAGGAAGAAGCAGGGGTAAGTCAGCTTTGGTTTAGCACCGGACAGGGTAGGGGTAGGCGTTCCCCAAAAGATCCTTTGGTGGAGTTGGGTGACTGGAACCTCCAGACAAGGAGGGTTGGGCCCAAGCATGGCCTGGTAAGAGCTGGCTGAGTGGGTCTTGCAGGACTCCTGAGCCTTTCCCCTGAGGCTGCTGCACCCATCCATGTGTCCCTGGGCCTAGCTGTGCTCCGTGCTCCCTCTTAGAGCCTCCCAGGCCAGCAGGGGTGGACTGGTGTCCAAACAGGCCAGTTTAGCTCCATGCAGGTTTCTGAGGGAGGAATCCAGTGGTGGGGCTCCCAGGAAAGTAGCCACCCCAACCTATAATGCTGGCTGGCAAGTATGGGGTCTTATTGGCTGTATCGCCACTGGTCTGTGTCCTGATTGCCAGCTCAAGGCCTACTAGTGCCACCAGCCTCAGCTTCAGAAAGGGTAGTGGGGATGTGGCCCTTCCCAGCCCTGTTCCCCGAAGCCCTGAGGTCCACAGTCACCACGGGGTACCTGAAGACTGTTGCTATGTTCAGGTTGTGGGTTGGGAGCTGTCAGCCTTGTCATCAAGGCCATTGCTTTTCTCAAAGCAACTCCCTTGATCTGAGTCACAGAAGCTGCCGCTGCATGTTCTTTTCTGCCAATGACCAGGAAGCACCTGTGGCTGCAGGACCCAGGGGTGCTGGGCTGGGGATGCCCTGCCACCCTCAGAGATCCTTCCTCCTTCCCTCCCCCCCAGGAGCTGCTTCCTGCTTGCTTTGTCTCTGGTCCTGCCGCCTCCACACTTCCCCTACTGGCCCCTTTCACTCAGACGCCTACCTGTCCCCAAGCTGCTGGGTAATCTGAGCCCTGCCTTCATACACACCTGCTTTAACACTGACAAGCATGTTCTCAAGATTCCAGTAGGGAGCTTCTAGCTGGGAGAGCCCAGTCCTGGAGAGGTGGGGAGTGCTGGAAGCCCATTGACTTCACCCCTCCTGATGACCCTCTCACAGCTCGCTTCTCACTAACTAGTATTTTTGTTCAAAAACCTCAAATTATCCTCCATTTTACAGTATTTGTGCTTAATTCTCCCTTCCATCCTCTGGGGTAACAGTCAACTTTATATAAACTAAAAGCTCACAATGATAGTTTTCAGTGACAGATAAGCATTAAGAACACCTTTAAAAATAAGATTTAATGCTTTATTGCTCTTGATGGTAAATCAAAATATGCTTTAGAAATAAAGTTAATTTAATGGAAAATAGGAATATATGCACCAAACCATAAAATCTCATTTAATTAAATCAAGAAAACACTTCATTGCATACAATCACCATGTCCTCTTCCTCAGCACCCTGGACCCATTGCCATGATCACTCCCTAGATTCCTGATCCCTTTTCAGTTGCCACACACTGTGGCTTCTTTTAGTACGTTATAAAAAAGTGCTTGGCCTGTGGCCTCTGCTGGGAGGCCTTGGCGCTGGGGTAAGGGCCTAAGGCAATATCCAAAGGGCTAGGGAGGATTCCAAACCCAAACCCTCTCCTCTCTAGCCTCCAACAGGCACCTCATTTGGCATGATCTGTTTTGGTGTGTTTCAAACATACATTTGCATGTGTCTAGTGTAAAGCAACAAGTTTGGGGAAATATGTGAAAAAGAGGTGAAGTTCCAGTTAGATGGTCTCACTAGTGTCTACTGGTAATTGGCAAAGACATGAGCATTGCTAGACCAGGCTAGTGGCACCTCTGCGCCTGCAGACAGGGCTCCCAAGGACAGGGTGCCAGCCAGATTCTTTGTTGCAAATTGCACACAGTGCAAATGTCTGAAAGCCCTGGGAAGCAGGGGTGGAGGGTGGGCATGAGACTGGGCTCAGGGTGAGGTGCAGGACCCACACACAGCTACTGGGGTCTGCCCGGTCAGCGGGCAGGGCAGGAACACTGGATGGAGTGGGGGTAGAATTGAGGCAGAAAGGGAAGAGAACTTCAGTATGCCCTCTTTCACACCCCTGCCCTCTCCTGAAGCGTGGGCTCACCCCCATCCCCCTCACATCATGGGGTTTGTTTTGAGCCTCTCTTCCTTCTAGGCTCCCGTCAGGAGGGCTGGGATGCCCACAGCATCCTTGCAGCTGGGGCTGGGGAGGAGGGTGGGCTCAGCAGGGCCTCTGGAGTACGTGTGCTTTGTGCTAGCAGAAACTCCTGGCATGGGGTCTGTGGGCCTGGGGACCTGGAGGGGGCTGTGTGGGATGTGGGGGCGGCATCCTGGCCTGGCCTGCAGTGCCAGGACCCCACACTGTCACTCCTATGTGCTCCAGCCCTTACCCTGTCCTAGTTCTCCAGAGCAGGAGAAATGCAGTGAGTGGTATCAGAAAGAGAAGGCGCCAGCGCTGCCAGCTCCCCTCACCCCAGCAGCTCATCTTCTTATTAGGATTCTTGACACAGTGTGGTGACAGCAGCTCTGATTAGCAGCCCTGCAAACTGCAAAGATAGGTGTAAGATGGCCTCGGCCAGGGACTGTGGGTTAAGTGAGATGGTCTCTGGGTATGGGCGCGCTGTTCTCTCTCGAGCTGTGGGGAAGGGCAGGCTGGGGATGCTGGCCTCCTGGCTGGGTGTGGCTCCTGGCTGAAGGGCTGGGTTTTGCAGGTGTCCCTGTCTACCTGGTGGCTTTGGCTGGCTGCTGGGGATGTGATGGGGGAGTCTGCTGAGCTATGAGATGAGCCTCCTTGAGCCCAGTCCTGAGAGCTGTGTCACCCTGGAGGGAAGGGGCAGCAGGTAGGGGCATAGAGAGTGCAGGGCTGTACCCCTAGCTCATGTCCACCAGGTCTCCCCAACACTCCAAGGGGAGCACATCTTTGGCTGGGAAGCTGCGTCCTGGGCTCCTCTTGCCTGTCCATTTGCAGGGCCGGCAGCCGATCACTGGCGTAAGGCAGGTGGACTTGACCTGGTCATCTGTTGGACACCTGCACCAACCAAAGGCACTGTGAAGCTGCCTCCATGGTGAAGTGTGGTCTGGCTGTGAGCCCAGGGCGGATAGGGCACCAGGGTCTTTGTAGTTTTGAGCAGAGACCATAGAAAGTCAGAACAGAGGAAGGTGGATACCAAAGGCAGAAAGCTGGGAAGAGACCTCACGGCACAAGGGTCTCAGAGAAGAGGCTCCAGATGCTCTCTGGTGAGACAAATGGGTGGCTGTAGTCAGATGGGGCCCAGGCTGCAGGCTCCAGGCCAGGCCTCCATGGTGGCCTCAGTTCCCAGGCACACTGAGGATGAAGCCAGAGCGGTTCTTGGTGAAGTCAGGCTCCGGCTGGTTGAGCCGAGTCTCCACGGAGACCGTGCACTTTTTCCCGTGCAGGCTGCACTGTACTGGGTGGGCGACGTTCACTTGAAGGTGGCGCTTCTCACTGGAAGAATCAAAAAGACAGAGACCAGAGGGCCAATTAGCAAGTGGCTCAGAGTGGGGTGACTTCCTTGGTAAACCTGGGCTGCCGTGTGCCAGCCCCACTGGGTTCCGCCACTTTCTTACAGGTGCCCAAGGAGGGCTTGAGGGCCCGAGAGGGTAAGGTGAAGTGAGGAGAGATGGGCGCCCAGAAGGGAGCAGGGCCAGGGGAGGGATATGGGGTTGAACCACAAGCCACCAGGTCTGGCTGAGGCTGAGGGCCAAGTTTCTCGAGCTTTTGATGTCTCGGGCCAGGCTTTAACTCCTGACTACTTATGGGCCCTGGGGAGGCCCAGAAGGCTCTGTCCAGGGATAATGAAGGACTCCCCATTACAGAATGCCTTTCGTGAGTCCCGCTGGATTGCCCCCCTGCCTGTGACTGATCCAGCTCCTCCAAGGCCCAAGGAAGCTGTTCCCATACTAGGTCTGGGGCCACGCCTCAGCTTTGCCAGAGTCCAGGTGCTCTGTGGAGTGTCCCCGCTGTCCTGGCAGCTGTGGAGCCAGGGCAGGTCGGCAGCGCCCCTGTTGCCTGTGGGCACATGAGGGAGGCCGTGGTGGCAGGGGCTTCCTTGCCCCAGGTAGGGTCAAGACTGAGGAGGCTGAGTGGGGATGTCGTCCGTGCTCTCCCTGCTGAGTAGAAATAAGCCCTTTCCTCCAGCTCCTCACACCATACTGAGTACCCTTAAGAAGCTGCTGCTTATTTTAAAAGCTGAGAAACTTGTGGAAATAGGCTGGCACCTAATGTTTGCACATACATGCCAGTACAGTCCCACACTATACCTCGGCTCATGCCTTGTCAGTTTTCTTAAAGCTGGGAGGGGAGTGGAGAGAGAGGAGGAAGGCCTGCTGGCACAGAGCCCCCAGCAGGATGGCCTGGCTCTGCTCCACCTGCCTATGCCCTGGGGCTTCTTCCATTACTCCTGGGACTGTGTTTGGTGCCTGGACAGGCCAGCTCCCCTTGGTTCCGCTCTGTTGGAGTCGCTGGAGTAATGTGGTTCTTAGCACTGAGCATAATGCAAAGCAGCCGCGTCCACTCTGCAGGGGCAAAGGCAGGGCCAGGGCTGAGGCCGGCAAGTACTGACTGAGCTCCTGCTCAGCCTGGACATGCTTTCTCTGGGATGGTGGGAATGTGGGCACCTTCTGAGTGCTGGATGGCCTGGGAGGGGCCGTTGCCTAGGTGTTGAAATGACGTTTCAAGCTGCACATGCTGCTGGAAGGGCCCCACAGGGTCAGCATGCCACATCTTACTGCCCCAGGGCATGCCTCCCATGGATATCCGGTGGGAACATCCACAGTAGGCCCCAAGGTTTGGGAAGTAATTTGAGGTGTTCTTAGGGGTCCTTTTCATAGCTGTTTCCCACCTGCTTTATAGAGGCAGAAAATGGACACAGGAGGAGACCTGTGGTCATTGCTGGTGGGAATTAGGTATCTAATACTTAATGTCTTGTCAGTTGCATCTAAAACCTTGGCTTACATGGCTATTTTTACTCAGACTTGGGCATAAAAATAGCAGAACCCATCAGAGGCAGTGACTCAGGCCCTCTTCCATTCCTTCAGGCCACTCTATGCAGCCCTGGCTGGGTTGGGGTCCCTCTGACCTCATGCTGGCCCAGGACCAACAAAGCCCCAGCTGGAGACACCTCTGGGGCCAGGCACAGGTGGCCTCCCTGCCTCCTTTTTGTTAACATGGTATGGCCTTTGGGTCCCTCCCTGTTGAACTCTGGTTCTCTGGGAGTCTCCCTGGGAGGAGTCTCTCTCTGGCCCCTGCAGAGTTCCCCCCAACACCACGTGCCCTCCCCTAGTACCTGCTGGGAGCCAGGGGTCTCCCTTCCCCCTTCTCCCATGGGGCCTGGCATGGTAACACGCACATAGTGGGTTCTGGAATCACCTGATGACTCCGAGTCATAGGGAATGGGCTCTAAATGGGCCACATTCCACATCAGCTAGAGAGAGAGAATGGGCAGTGCCAGCCTGCCTCGCCCTCGTGCTCTCACATTTCTGCAGCTGAGGCAGGCACCTCTTAGTGTGCCCTCCTGACTGTAGTCCCCTTCCCAGACACTAGCCCCCCTCGGCTTGCCCCGGACTCAGCTCTCTCAGGGCCAGCAGGGTCCTGCTGCTCCAACAGTCCTGCATTTGGGCCCTGTATATCTCCAGCATCTGCTCTGTAGCCTCAACACGGGGCTCAGGCTGGTGGGACAAAGGAGAGGAGTGAACAGCTGCTCTAAGATGCTCCCAGGATAACAGTGACACAACTTCACCTTGAAAGCAGAGCCCTCTGGGGGTGGCAGGATAGAAAAAGCAGCAGAAAACCACTGTTCCAGATCCCTTCTGTGCACAGCGCACTGGGCTGAAAGCTTCCCTCCCTGCCCTCTGCGGGCCCAGGCTGCAAGAGCTGTGGAATCCATGCTAGCTGGGGGAGGAAGCTGGAAGGATGCAGGGTGGGGGGGGGGGGGGAGGAGGAGGAACAGTCCCTTCCTCTGGGAGCTTCCAGAAGAGGAAAGAGCAGAAACATCTCTAGAAGCTCCCAACAGATAACATACAGTCAACACTGCTTCGACTGCGAGGCCAGCCCTGCCCAAGGCCACTGCTCTGCTGAAATGAAGCTTCTCCTTGAACAAGAAGAAGGAAAGCAGGAGTTGGGTGCTGGATTCTCTGCCTTCTTATACTCAAAGCAGCGATGAGCTCTGAGCCCCTTCTGTCTCCCTGTCCCCTGTCCTAGCTCTGCTGTAACAGCCCTGCAGCTGCTCTGTCCCCTCCCTGGTGGTGTGTACTGTCCTGGGACGGCTGGTTGGTTGTCTTCTCTTTCCCACAGGTGGTGCTGGCTCCCCCGCATTCCACATACAGCCCAGCCCACAGGGCTCGGTGGAGCAAGTGTCCTACCAACCCTTCCGTGGGTGGAGGAGCCCAGCGTGGCAGGAGATGGGTGATGCCATCTCCTCTCTTAGCCCGGTGTCTGAGCCTGCCCTCTCTCTCTCTTTTTTTTTAGAGAGAGATTCAAATCTGTCACCCTCAGTAGAGTGCCATGGCGTCACAGCTCACAGCAACCTCTAGCTCTTGAGCTTAGGCAATTCTTTTGCCTCAGCCTCCTGAGTAGCTGGGACTACAGATGCCCGCCACAAAGCCTGGCTATTTTTTTGTTGTTGTTGTTTGGCTGGGGCCGGGTTTGAACCTACCACCCTTGGTATCTGGGGCTGGCGCCCTATTCACTGAGCCACAGGTGCTGCCCCTTGCCCTCTCTCTTGGCCTTGGCCCATAGGTATTGGTTTGTGGCAAACCCCTAATCCCCGCCTCCAACAATATCTTTGAGCTGAATGAGAATCAACCAGAGATATATTAGGAAAGAAGCAGTTGCATTTATTGGGGTCCACTCCCAGGGGACTTCCACGTGGAGTTTTCTAAGCCCACTTGAGATCGCTTTTGATTCCTTTGAGGTCTTTTTTTTTTTAGACACAGTCTTACTATGTCACCCTTGGTAGAGTGCCGTGGCTTCACAGCTCACAGCAACCTCAAACTCTTGGGCTTAAGCAGTTCTCTTCCCTCAGCCTCCCGAGTAGCTGGGACTGCAGGCCACTGCCACGTTGCCCGGCTATTTTTTGTTGCAGTTGTCATTGTTGTTTTAGCTGACCTGGGCTGGGTTTGAACCCACCAGCCTTGGTGTATGTGGCTAGTGCTGTAAGCACTATGCTATGGGTATCCTTTGAAGTCTTAGTACAAGGGCAGGGGTCTGAGGGTGGGAGGGTCGGATTTGGGCCTGGCTCTGGCGGCTTGCTGGCTTCATGACCTCATCCAAGTCATTCAAACCTCCGTGAGCCTGCCTTTTACGACTGTCTAATGTGCATAAGGAACACCTTCTTTGCAGGTGAAGGTAAACAGAACAAATAATTTTACCCATTCCTCAATCCAGCCATCTGCCTCTGAGTCAGGCACTGGAAATGCAGAAAACCAATTTGTAGCCAGAAAGCAGGGTCTTCTCTCGACCCTCACCAGGCTGCCTGTCCTCATGGGGCTTCCAGTCTGGGAAGTAATGCGTGAGGGGCACTGGGAAAGATGTGAAACCCTGTCTGGTGAGGCTTATGCTATTATCTTGCTTCACAAAAGGAATTTTCTCTCCTTTCTTAGTTAAGTGCTAAGAACCTCCAAAAGCGATAGATCAGGAGAGGCATTACTACTGATCAGTTTATGTTCTTTACACATTTTAGCACAGTTCATAAAACCATAGGAGTGTTTCTGTTGTGAATATTTCTTTCCTGAGTGTTTTACTTCCTTGGGGGTGGATTCTAATCCTATGTTTAAATCCTACAAGTTTAATGGAGCATTCGTGCCACATGTCCTGGTCTCCACTACCAGGATGCCTGGGGTGTGGGAGGAGGCGCAGAGGGGGCTCACACAGAGCCCTGCACACAGGGTGCCCCCCCAGGTGCTGGCAGCCGCCCGCTCTGGACTTGCAGGGCCAGCAGAGGTTGCAGCCTCAGTTCATCTGCTCTGCAGATTGCTTTCTCCCACCAACACAACTTGGTCTACTCACTCATCAACTCCGCATACTCACTGCAGCCTCATGAGTGAGGAAAACAATGGGCTGACTGATCAAGATCCTCTTAGGACTGAAAACTGCCTAGTCCATGGAATTCATGCCACAGAAATAGTGGCCAGGGCCGAGCGCAGTGGCTCACAGCTGTAATCCTAGCACTCTGGGAAGCTGAGGCAGGAAGATTGCTTGAGGTCAGTTCAAGATCAGCCCGAACAAGAGTGAGACCCCTCTCTCTAAAAATAGAAAAATTAGCTGGGCATTGTGGTAGATGCCTGTAGTTCCAGCTACTCAGGAGGCTGAGGTAGAAGGATCACTTGACCCAGAAGTTTGAGGTTGCTGTAAGCTAGGCTGATGCTACAGCACTCTAGCCTGGGCAACAGAGTGAGATTCTGTCTCCAAAACAAAGAAAGAAAGAAAGAAATAGTGGCTGTGAATTG